GAGCTTACACTGTTACCAAATCGTATGTCAAGGCTGCACTGTGATGGAAAAAAAAGGTGCTGAGCTGCTTTTAATCCAGGTTTAACCAGGGCCCCACTCTAATTCATTGCAAGGCCATGCAAAACCTCATACTGCACAAAGAATAAATGCTCAGGGACAAAGACCACGCCTTTCAATTGTGGTACAATTTTATGCTGCTTTAAATGCTTGTGGAATTACTCTGCTAGAACTCAATTTCATAATTGGTTTTAAATGAATTAAGACCACGATGTTGCCAAGGTACATTCCCACCCACACAACTTGGATTGACATCTTCCTGCTTCCCTTCTCCTTGCATATTTTAACTTAAGAGCTGTTAGAACTGAGCCAACCTTCTCTGTATTTGAAGGACAAACAATGCCAGTGGAAAAGGGGGGATGGAAGAATGCAGTCAGGAGAGAGAGAGAAGGGCAAAACAGATGAGGTTCGTGGAAGCAGAAGCTTTGCTTGCCTAAATCCCAAAGGCTGCAGTTCAATGCTGTTAGCTTCAACAGCCTGGAGTATTTTTCAGCAGGATCAGTTCCCTGATCGGCCAACATTGTACAAATGGGGACACAATAAGGGGCAGCAGTACTAAACAGACTGAAAAAGGAAGAAGATAGAACTGCTTTCCAGAGCAGTGACAGTTTAAATTGTCTCACTGTTCACTGAAGTATACTTGTAGATTGTACGCAATTACTATTGTTAAACTGGAGCAGTTCCTCCAAATGGAGGTGCTAACTTCTTGATAAACATTGATCAAAACATTCCTTTAACTTGACATCTATTTATGCCAAAACACGCTGCCTTTTCCAATAAATTAGCTATTATAATTGAAAGATACTTCTTTCTTGTAAACAATTCTTTCCTATAGCCTCAAAATCAGATTAGAAACTTTTACTGCTACAAGGTAAATAAAGCAGTTTCAGTTACACCTGTGGATGACTATAAATAGAATGTCAAATTAAAAAGTTTCAGAATGTAAATAAATCACATTTTCTCTATGGTTAAAATTAAACTCTTGCTATGAGTTATTATCAAATGGTAAAGTGTAAAAAAGCCCTTCACAACACACATCACTGATCGTGGCTTGAAAGAGTTTAAACAACAAAGACTAAGAACTCATCTCAATACATGCAGACCACAGACTCCTAAATGAGGAATAGAAGAATGAAAATCCAGAAGTGCAATCCAAATAACCATTTTTCTGCTTATGAGCAGTTATACTTCTTTCAGGAGATGAAAGCTGGGCTCTGGCACATAGCTGAGACTCTCATAGGTTGAACAGCTGCTTTGGTTTTAAAAATACAGTAATTCTTATCATTACAGAAATACAGTAATTCTTAGCATTACTTTCTTTCTAAGGCCATCTAGTAGACAATTTCACTCTATCCCTGTGGCCTATTCCTAGTGGCAGTTTCTGACTGATTTAATGGAATACAGATGAATGTAATAGTAATATTTTTTATATAAAATCTGCTGGTTTGTACTCTAAGATGGGTAGAAAATCCAAACTCAGTACTCTGGCCAGAGGAGTTCAAATTCACATGCTACAGAAGGATACTTCAACTTACATGGTAAAAGTGTTATTAACAGAGGACCTGTAGAGGAAAGATAAACTCCATCTTTCCTGCTGAAGTTCTGCTGTTTCGCAGTAAGGAATTCAAGGTTCAGGTAAAACAGAAAACAAAAAAAAAAAAAGAAAGAAAAAAGAAAGAACAATCTTTCATAGCTTTATGGGCTATGGGCTCAGAACTCAGGAGGGATGACTTAAGTTCCAATTCCACTCCATATCATCAGGTCCATTCTAGCAAGCAATGATGGACATAAAATTCCAAAGGACAAAGTTTTCAAAACTCCTGCATGAATTACATACGCACTAAAATATATTGCCTAGTGAGTTTCCTACCTTGCCACTTTCTAGCCCTATGAATCCTAACTCTCTGCTGCATGGTAACAGCACTTCAAAAAGACATGCAGATTTTTCCCTCTGTGTAGATTTTTCCACCTCAGTAATCTTATAAATTCTCGGTTAAGAATCTGTTAAAAAGTGGCAGATAGACTGGAATTCCCTTTCTACAGTTTTCTTCGAGTAATAGAATGAATCCTATCCTTGAAAAAGTGCTTTTATCACTAGTGCATTACAGAAAATAGGGACACTAACACTTTATTCTCTTATGTACAGTTGCAAAAAATAGGAAAAATATCATCTGGAGAGGATCAGAAGGGAAGAGAAATATCTCCCTGCTGCCCACATTCACGTTCAGACGTTTTCCTACTTGCCAGTCTATATATTCATTTTTAATTTTATTCCTAATTCTACATGCAGTACCTGTGAGCTATCAGTACATAACTTGGTATTCTTGATTCTACTTGGAGGACAGAACAATTAAAATGTAAATGTCACAATACCTATCTTGTTAGTAGAAGACCTTTACTGAATCTTGTTACTGTAGAGGACTTTTATTGAATCTTGCTCTTGACCTCAACCACTATATTAATTTACAGTTTTGGAATAACTTAAACACTTTCTTCAGGAATATTTTTTGTGAATATTTATTAAGTACTGTATTTCAATAAGCAAACTTTAGATTTAGTGAGAGCTGAGACAAGTCTTCAGTATTGGAAGTACTTAATTTCTGCACTTACTACTGGCTGTAAGAGCAGGAACTTTCATAAAAACCAGCTTAATAAAACACTGCAAAAGCAACATCAAAGAATTCTGGAACCTTTACTAGAACATTTACATTCATATATGTATAATGGTAACCTGTTAAGACTCCACACTAAGAGTTTAAGACTAACTGCACGCTTGCACCAAAGCTATTAATTAGTACCTTGTGGTTTGACCTGGAGATGCCAAACACGTTTGCTGACAACCCTATGCCTTGTCATGCTGCTAACAAAAAGAATCACCATGTCCTAACTATATTTTCCTGCTGTGCTTTCAACCTTCCAGTCAACTCCTAAGCCTTCCATGAGAACTTTATCAACGATGTCAACCTCTGACATGTGAGCACTTAATAAATCTGAAGCTCCATTTAACCAGTTGTAGGAAAAGAGAAGAGGGACACAGACTTTTGCACAGAGTGGCAGCAAGAGAGATATTCCCTACTCTACACTGATTTTTTCTGCACATTGACTGGAAACGATTCCGGTGGCTGCCTATCCTCACTTGGAGCTTTTGCAAAACATAGCGGTCCTGGGAGATTTGTAGTGTCGGGGCTAACAGTTTCACTGCTGCCTACCCAGTTATGAGCAGAGCCTGTGCAGCAGGTCAGAACACTGCAAACTCGACCTCTGAAAAGGCCAAGGGGGCAGGTAGGTGGGCAAGGCAGAGATGGCCCAGAGAGGTCAGGGAATCTCTGAAGTTGGCAAGTTTCACAGCTTAGTGAGGAAAACCCATGACTGACCTGATCTAGTGCTAGTGACAGGCCCACTTCAAATGGGAGGTTGGGTTAGATGATCTACAGAGGTCCTTGCCAAAGAAAGTAACTTCTGTGATTCAACAAGTAGCTCCAAAGGCAGCCACTTTACCCGTGAATTAACCTTCTGCTCATGTTTAGGAAGTTAGAAATGCAGCCATAAAAGTTAATACTCTATAAATATTTAAAAGGAAACCTACATTCTGATTAAACTCATAGCTACTTATGTTCACAAGTCACAGATCCTTTTGAAAAATTAAATATATATTTCTCCAACTCCATTGAAACTGCTGATTCTTCTAGACAAAATTAAGTGTCTTTTACATATCAAGGTGAAAACAAATATGTGCAAATATCCATTACTTGAATTTTGTTCAGAGAAGAGGAAACATCTTTTAAAAATTAATCCTTAAAGTTGCTGAAGTATTATAGTCTATTCCATTAATCTCTAGAATAAAACACAAACCAAACAATCTTTAAAACAAAAGAGTTTTGTTGTTGTGTTCGCCTTGTGTTTTTCCAACTAAGGTGAAACATATTTTAGTCCTACTAATGGGAGAAAGTTCTTTAAATACACAATTTTTACTTAAAATTTGTTTAAAGATGGACGTGTTTGGGTTTCTAAGAGAATGCTCTTACAGATAACAAGACCAGAGAGACTGCTCCAAGAAGACCACTTCAGCAAAAGGGAAATGTATTTCTTAATTTCTGTTGGAATAGTATATCGATTCCAAAAAACCCCTTGAGAATTCAAGACTTTGCTAACACCTTGAACAGTGTCCAAATAAAGAAAAATACAATTCAAGAGTTTAAGCACAGATGTATGTGCATATTACTTCATCTGCTTACATGCTGAACATCTGCATTCTGTATTAGTTGAAGTTTTTTTTATTCCTAAATTCTGACAAAGGTAGACAAATAAAACAATATAAAACAATTTTATACTAATATTTTAACTCGCAAACCTCTAAATTTGTTAGAAATTGTGACTGTTAGCTTAAAATAAAGCACACTGGATCAACTCCTCTTTGTCTTTGAACTATGAGTTGGAGAACTAATGTTTGTTTCCAGTTTAGTATTATCCTACACGGTGCGGAAGTTTTTTATTATTTTTCAAGCTTATTTTAAAAACTAGTGTATTGTCCAGATCTTTGCCATCCTATGTAACATTCACATGAAACTTTTACCACATTGTAGCAGTGTATGGAAACACTTTCGAGTATTACTGCAGTAGCACCTCACAGCATATTGCTAAAAGCAAGGCAGTGAGCCTCTCACACAAGCCCATAGGCTAGCAGATTAATAGGATGGCACCAAAGCAATGCGCTTGGTAGTTGAAGCATCACAATTACCACACACACAGAGTTATCTTCTGATAACACTTCTGTAAATTCTGAAGGTAATTTCAGCAAGCAGCATAACCCAGACAAGGTTTTACTATAACTTGCACACCTTCCTGACATGCTTTTTGCTCAGCTCTAACTGGCTATGCTTTTTGGACACGTTAAGGTAAGCTAATTAATGTCACCTCTATGCTAGCAGCAAACGTACCACGCTGTTTTTCATCATGGCTCTAATAGTGAATCCGTCGCAGGCCTGCTCCTTGTTCTTCTTCTCCCGCTGCCGGGGGCACCTGTCGCCTGCGGGCTTCGAGGGGCCGGAGCCCGCCTTGTCCACTACCATCTCCCCACCGGCGCCCGCGACGGACCAGAGGAGAAATACGGACTGGAACAAACAAGCGAACATCAGCGCCCCGTGCCCAGCCAGTTAGAAGGCGGCAGCAGCTCTAACTCCGCTCTTTTCAGGATCAGCGATACCCCCACACACCCCTCTCGCGCCTTCCTTCCCCCCTCCAGGACCCCTTCTGCATCATCCCAGCTCGTCCCCCCCCTACTCCACCGTGTCCAGCCCTTCATCACCACCTGCTGTCCTTGTCCCCCGGGGACTTCTCCCCCCCCGCCGGCCGCTGTGCCCCCGCCGGCTGCGGCCCTGCGGTCCCTCCCTCACGGGGTCCGTTGGGCACCGGCCGCCGCGGGCGGTCCCCCGGACACGCGACCGTTGCCAGGCAACGCGTCAACAACCCGCCTGGGAAGCGCAAAGGGAGCCGGAGAGAGACCCAGCGGCCCCGCCCGGCTGTGCCCCCTCTCGGTGCGCCGAACACCGAGGCGACAGACGGCAATCAGGGAGAAAGTCATTAGCGAAGGTGGGGGCTGGAGGGGCGTGGAGGGAGAGGCGATCACGTGGGCAGAGTAGGGGCCGGTGTGAAGTGGCGAAGAACTACGTTACCCAGGGGGCCTCGCGCGCCTCATGGAGGCGCATGCGTATTCCGCGCCGCCCCGCCCCGCCCGCAGTCTCGCGACTCCACCGGTCGGCTGCCGGGGGAGCGCTCGAGCGGGAGGGCGCGGCCGGCACGTGCGCGCGCGTGTACGCGGCCCCCCTTCTCCACCCTCGCCGCCATGATCGGTGAGTGAGCGCGTCAGGGAGCGAGCCCGGATGCGGGTCCGCCCTTTCCTCCCCGCCCCTTCTCTGCCTTCGCCGCCGCTGCTGCTCTGTCTGCGGCCTCGGGGGGCAGCGGGGGCCGGCTCGCCTCCCTTCGATTCCCCTCCCTCCCCGCCCGCCTCCCCCGTTGCTTCGGCGGGGCGGGAGCGCGCCCCTGGACGAGCCGGCGCTGCCTTCGGTGCTGCGCGCGCCGGTCACAGCGCGTGGTGCGCCCGTCGGGGCCGCGCGGGGACACGGGGGGCAGAGGGCCGAGAGGGGTCAGTGCCCGCCTGTGGGAGGGGGGCCTGGCCAAGGCCTTGACACTGAGGTCATTTTTAAGTTCGTTTTTATTCCTTCTCCGTATATCGACTGTGAATACCTTTGGGCGAGGTTCTGTGTGATCTGCGAACTTTTTTGCCTTGCCAGCATTTATAAAAACGTGTTATTGGTCGGGCGTGGTGGTTGCTGGCGGTGGCATGACAAAGAAGCAGCTTGGGCCGGACAGTGTTGGCACTTTGACCCTGTGGTCCTTGAGCGTGGTTTCTGTGCCTATGCAGTGCTAGTGCAACACGTGAATCTCTTGTTCCAGCAGTGGCTTTTCTCCTGTTCCTTGTAAGATGAACCTCTACCTGGGGAATTCACAAATTACACATTTCATCTCACATTCACTTTCTCAATATGAATTATTTAAAGTAAGACCTATAAAATGTAGTGGGTGAACGTGTAATCTAACAATTCCTTACTGTCCTCAGACTTACTGTTTCATCATCACTGTAGGTGTCATAATTGCTGTCTATGTAAGACCCAGTGAAGTTGAAAACCATGCGTTTTTTTGTAAAAATATGTATTGTTTTTAAATTGAACATCTCGAAAGTGACCTAGAATCCTATGGGTTTTTCAATTAGGTGTTCTTTTTTTCTTAGCCGCACATGGCCATAAGTTTGTGGGTAATGTTCTTTTTCTATCAGCTTTGTTAAAGCTAAAAAGAAAGTTAAAAGCAGTTGGTTTTCAGTATGTATAAATACTTATGCAAATAGTCTCTTCCTAGTTGTGGAGTTTTGCTTCCTGAACTTTCTTGTCATTTGGGCTATTTTTGCCTTTTGTAGATGAGAATATTTTAAATTAAAGGCTTGGCTTAAGGAGAGCACAGAGGGTTAGGTATTCTGCTGTTTTTTAATTTTGCAGTGTTGTCTGCTGATATGGTGTATTGCTGTAGTATATAAAATACACACGTTAACAGAACTACAGTGTGTGTTTGCTTCTCTATGCTTCAGAAAAGTAAGTTGAGTGCACCTGAGGGACAGCCCATGTGGTTACAGAGTGGATGCCTCTAGCCCTCACACTGAAATCTAAATATTTACTTATGCTCATGAATATAAATGTTATATGACTGATGAATGATAATTTTATTTTCACTGTGGCAGACGGAAATGTTTGTGAATATTGATTATAAAACGTACATACTAATTAGTTGCAAATTTATAAACGAAGCTTTGCATGAGTTGCAACCTGCCGTGGTTTAACCCCATCAGGCAACTAAGTACCAAGAAGCCGCTCAATCCCTCCTTCCTTGCCCGGGGGGGATGGGGAGGGGAGTCGAGGGCGGGTGGGGGTGGGGGAAAAAGAAAGTAAAACTTGTGGGTTGAGGAAAGAACAGTTCAATAATTAAACCAAAGTAAAATACAATAGTAATGCTGTTAAAGCTAATGACGATGATAATTGTAATGAAAAGGAGAGAGAGGAATGAAGCCCAAGAGAAACAAAGGGATGCACAATACGGCTGCTCACCGCCACTGACTGATGCCCAGCCCGTCCTCCAGGCCAGCTCCCACCAGTTCGTATACTGATGTTCTGTGGTATGGAATATCCCTGTGGCCAGTTCAGGTCAGCTGTCCTGGTCACACTCTCTCTGAGCTTCTTGTGCACCTACAATTTGGTGGACCATGGGAAACTGAAAAGTCCTTGACTTAGGGTAAGCACTACTTAGCAACAACTAAATATCAGTGTATTACCAACATTATTCTCATAGGAAAGTCAAAACACAGCATCGTACCATTCTTATAAGAATTAACTCTATCCCAGCCAAAATCAGGACAATACACTCCCCCACCTTCCAAAAATACAGGAATTGTCCTCAAAGTATATGATGTAGAGACCTAGTCCAGTTTCTTGCTTTTTGAAAAGTCTCCTCTAAACACTTGTGAGCTGGGAATACCATGGCAAAATTGGGGGCTGGAGGGGAAAGGTGAGATAATTTGTGTCATCTGTGCTCAGTTTTTTTTACCTGTGTGTTTAAGAGAACTTTCCGATGAAGCACATGATGTATTTTCCAAAATATTTTAAAGTATCATATCTCTGGCAATGTTTTATGTTCTCTTGAGTTAATGCTATAATGTAACTGTGCAACACACGGTAACATGATAGTTAATTCCTTTAATCAATCTTTATTTTTCCTTCCCTTCTTTGTCACCGATGTATCTCACCAGGTCCCATGGACTTGTACACATTCAGATTCCTTAAATGATAATTTGAATCCAGACTGAGCTAGTTGAGTGACTTGAGGTTTCAAAACCTCCACTTAATTAGGGACATGGGAGATTTTGGGTTTGTTTGTGGTAGGTTTTTTATGTTTATTTTATTTATTTAATACCCTACATTTGCTTACCATTGGATCAGCTGAAAACCAATGCTGGCACAGGGGCAGTGACAACTCACAATTGGATTAGCTGAGCTGATTCTTAGTCAATGGCCCTGGCAATGATATTACCTTTCTAAGCACCTCCTCTTGAGTTTTCAAGAAGTACTATGGTAAAAAAAAAAACAAAACCAAACCTGATTTTAAAGAAAGATGATACCAGGGCAGCTTCGTGGAATTTTTAAGGAAATACCTCTTAAAGAGCAAAAAAACACGGGAGGAGTCCCCAGACTGTTTTAAAAACGTAGCGGATGGGCTCTATGTAGTTAACATTGGCAGGTCAGCATGTCTGTGGAGATTGGGAGATGCAGGTGGTGGTAAAGGCAGGTAGCGAAGGGCTTTGACAATGAAATATGATTGGTATGGCAGTAATCAAGTTAAAGGGGAATGGGAGCCTGAGTGAAAGTTTTAGCTATTTGGATGACCGATCGCTCCTCTGTGTTGCACCTTTTTTCAGTGTGTTGGTAATCTACTTTCTGCATAAATATTTCTCCTTGTTATGAAAATAACCTTGGGGAAGCAAAATAAGAATAAACCCTTTCAGAATTTCCCTGAATGTATTTAGACCAGAAAAGAATGGTGCTAGCATAGCAACTGAAGGAAAAGTACTTTGGGAACTTTCTACTTAGATATTTTGGTTTTATGCTGCAATTTTGGGTTTCTTTCTTTTGTTGTCATCTTGGTGTTCTATTTCAGTGTATGTAATGCTATGGGCAGTTCCACTACAATATGTACTTTTCACTGAAAAAGTAACTCATGTTGTAGTTCACTTACTTCACGAGCATGCGGAATAATCTTTCCAATGTTTAGTTTGATGAAACAAAACCTAAACCTCAGACTGTCAAAGGCTACTTGTATTCCATATGCGAGCTGTTTTGCTCAAGTTGTTTTGAGGCTTTTTTCATCTGTTAGAGGAGCTGTATTGTACTGTGTGTACAGAATTGCATCATGAAACATTGTGTGTTTTACTGGGTTTATATTTTATTGATTATTTTCCTACAAAATGCTTTGTTGTGACTATCAGCCAAGTTTTATAAAGTTAGTATCATTTGAAGAAGATTATCTTCAATAGGCAGTTGGGTTTTGTTAGATATACATGAGCATTCTGGATTTCTTTGTTTCCATGAAGAGAGATGGGAAGGCTTTTTGCTTGGATTTCTTTTCGAAAGAAAAGTAGCAAGGGGGAGGAAAAGTGGGGGTTTCTTTGCGCTTTTTTCGGTATTTTTGGTTAATTGTTTTGGGGTTTTTTAATGGATACAGTATTATAATATTGAGGCACGTTGGAAACTAATTAAGCAGTGGCTAAGGGAGTTCTGATGAGTGTGCTGAGTTTTTCAGATAAGGCCCTACAGATAGAATATTGATCTGACAATTTCTTAAAATCATTTCCCATGTATATTTATATGTAATGTGTAAACTTACTATCAATTACCTTTGGTCCAGCCTATCTGTGAGATGAGAATAAAGTTAAGAATTTCAAATTCCACTTATTCCCAGAAAAAAGTTATGCTAACAAAACATGAAAATTTAGAAAATATTTTAGAAAGAATAACAGCAAATACTACTACTTAAGAGTCCTTGCCAAAGTAATGTGTGTGTCTTTTGTAGATACATTGGAAGCCAAAGACATTATTTGATTCTGTTGTGATAATATTGCCTCAAGAGGCAAAGTAGGTTTCTTAATTGGAACCACATATATCCTCATTTACTGAAATAAATTAATTGGATTACCATACACTGTATCATGAAACTGTCAGTTGTGTCAATGGTCAGGCCACAGAAGCAAATAATTCTGAGAATGGTGCAGGCCTTCCAAGTTGTTATATTCAGGAGAAGCCCAAGGGAGAGTAAAACCTTTAGTGGGAACTTTGTCACTTTGCCAGACAGATTTATGTAAAAGAGATAAATTCATTATTTTCAATCAATTTTATTATTTAATGGTATATTTTTTTTAATGTACTGTGTATAAGTATTGTTGGACTGAAAATCAACTTCTAACACAAAATGTAGCCAGTGATGTATACAGCTTT